TGAAAATGAAATAAAGGAAGCAAAATCTCACAAAGCCTTTAGCTTTTCCACATCTAAAGTGAACCTAAACTTTTCTTTTTTTATTATTTGTTTTTATTTTTTTCAACATTATTATTTTTTTTTTTTTGATAGTTCAGTTGCCGCTGGGATCTCTCTCCCCTCCCGCAAGCTCCCTTCCCTCCCCTCTGTTCTCCCTTCCAGTCTCACAATGAATGTCTTTTGTGAATGTTCCCGAGTCCATCAGGCTGCTGAAGTGTCTCCCAACCATGTAGGAGACTGCCAGTCATTTCGTTGTGAATTCATCGTTGTGTCCCATGGCCCTAATGAAGGTACAATGAGGACTAGATCTTCGTTATTTATAGGCAGTAGCAATAACATGATAAAAAAGGACATTGACCATCTTGGGTGATTACAATCAATCTCTTATGGATGATTGATTAATGAATTACATTACAAGATCTTATTTCAGAAGGTACATGTAAGTAGGCTTCTTCTAGCTTACGAAATGAAAAGCAAAGAGCACTGTTTGTACATGTAATTCTGCTTAGGAATTGTAATTTTTCATTGTCTAAGTGTACTCAAAGAATAAGGTAAATCAAGGAAATTCTTGCTGCAGTGATAACTACCATCACGATTGAACCCTTCGGTCATTGCCCACATGCACCGGTTACATGAAGTGTGCAAGTGCCTTGATTTCAAATTTTTCTGCACATACCTGGTAATGTATTCATGGGATCCACTGAGCATGTATTTGTTGAAACTAAATTGGTTTTTAAAAATACAAAGGGAAAGGAAGAAGGAAAGGGGAAAGAAAGAGGGAAATACTTCTATTTGCTGGTTCAATTCCCAACTGCCAGCAGGGTCAGGGCTGGGCTGAGGTCAGAAGGACAAAGTCAAGACCTAGACTGCATTCTGGGAGTACACGCTTGCACGTCGTGGCAGAAACCCAGTTACCTGAATCACCACCACTGTCTCCCCAGGTATGCATGGTCAGAAGCTAGAACTGACGATAAAACCCAGTGAGTGACCTGAGCGTTTTAACTCTTAGTTAGGATGTATGTGCATTCCCCTAAATTGATTCTTAATAAGTAGGGATAAGACAAAGCATTAACTGTTTCATGTGGCTGGAAAAGAAAGCACTATTCATCTCAGCCATCCTCGTTAGACTGGTCAATTCTACCAGGGTTTCCCTGTTGCTTGGTGGGGCCCAGATCCCTGTCTGAACAACAGTGACACAGGACTGAGATGGCGAGTTCCAGATCTCTACTTTGTGGCCTCTACCCTGAAGAAGCAAAGCTCACACAGCAGGAAGCTACATAATCAAGGCGAGGTGTCCACAACATGTTGGGCAGACATGAAGAGTGGTAGGTGTTCACCAATCTATTCGAAATCTTCGCCACGTGCCATTCCCTAAAGGCACTTCCCAAGTATGGTCCTAATGGGAAGTTCCCCAGTTTGTCTTCCAGAATTCAGCATGTGGCTCTCCTCACTATTCATTCAATTTTCTCCACGCAAATAGCCATATCAGACGGCCTTTGGAGTGATGCATGTGTGTAGTTTTCTTTCCTGAACACTACAATTTCTGTCCAACAGCACAAGCATGGATTTTTTTTTCTCTCACCTTCTAAACTTTATATATCCCATACAAATGTTTTCAAAAGCATTTTTAAAAAATTATGGGTAACATAAAATGGACATGGTTAGACAAAATCTGAAATTGAAGTACACTTCGGTATGAAGAAGTCAAGGTGACAGTTGTGCCTGGCAGGTTTTGGCAGGAACTGTGGGAGTAATGTGAAGTATTATACCAATGTGTTTAACAATAGCTTAAGAACAACAGCTGAAATACTATAAGCTGTTTAAGTTGGAAATGCTGCAGGCAAAACTCTGAGTTAAAACAAATGACATACAGCTCCATGTCCTCTGACATTTGCTTTTCTGAAGCGATTTGAGTCATTAAAGGGAAAGCAACTCTGGTTTCCTGGAAACAATTAAGTGCTCAGTTTTATTATTCCAATCTTTGATCCTGTCACAGGATCATGGCCTTCTCCTAAGTGATAAACGATGGAACATGTAGGAGAATACATCTTACTTTATGTTTTTAAACCATCCCAGATGAATTAATCAGCTACATTTAATGGAATCAAATAAGTAATTTTATGGGCCTGAAGCAGTGGCTTACTGGCTAAAGTCTTCACCTTACATGCCCGGATCCCATGTGGACACTGGTTATAATCCCAGCAGCCCAACTTCCCATCCAGCTCTCCGCTTCTGGCCTGGGAAAGCAGTCAAGGATGGCCCAAAACCTTGGGATCCTGCACCCACGTGGGAGACCCAAAAGAAGCTCCGGACTCCGGGTGTCGAATTGGCGCAGTTCCAGATGTTGTGGCCACTTGGGGAGTGAATCAATGCATGGAAGATCTTCCTCTTTGTATATCTGACTTTCCAATAGAAATAAATAAATCTTTTTTTTTAAAGAGTTACATTCCATAGGGGTTTTTTAAAAAAGTTTTAAAAAAAACCAGATAAGTAATTTTAAGTATACTACACTAGAAATGGAAGTAACACCATCCTGCAAAATCTCTCAAATTACCTTGTAAATCAGCCTTATTATTCTCAATACAGTAATCCAGAAAAGAAGTCCTACAGCTGATATCACAATTTTAATTCAAATTCTGAGAAAATTGCTCTAGTATTCATTTTCTATTGCAAATTGTAGAATCTAGGGGTTTGTCTTGCCATAATATGTACTATCACCAAGTTCATGTAGGGTCCCAAAATCTGTTTTTAATGAATACCAAGCCTATTTCTGTTTATATGAACTCCACATGAAAAAATTAGAACTCAAGAATGCATCCAGTGTGTTTTAATATAAAGCTTTTGTGAGACTTGAAAGTTTTCAAAGTAATGGATGGTAGGTTACTCATTTGTCAGTCATGTTTGGAGATATTATAGATTTGTTGGTTTTGTATAATGAAATTGTTTCTTAATTTGCTGGTTTATGCACCTTTGAGTGTAGATCTGCCAACATATCTTACTGGTATTGGGTCAGAAGGGGCATCCAAAACATGAAGAGTCCATCTGAACTCAGATGGCAAGGGTAGGAATAGGGGGAATACATGAGGGATAAACCAAATCACAGACACAAGTGATAAATTCCAGGGCTCCACAGCAGATCATGATGACATACTACACACTATAGGGGGAGCTAGAAGAAAGGAATTCACAGGTTCCAAAGAGAGAAAGAGAAAGAAACGGAAATACCAATGACACTAATCATGTGTTTGGATTAGTTTATGCTGAATGCATGTACTGAAATACTTTACTCCATTAAAATATACTCCCAAATAATTATTGCATTATTTTAAAAGTCCTCCAAAAGCATTAAATGTTCATCACAAATTTAAAATATTCAAATAGGACCTACTATTTTTCAAAAGACTGATACCCAAAAATCTTAAACTTTGGTTATAAATGTGAATATATGCTCCCTGGGGATTCTCTGAAAGAAGTTAAAAACTAACACAAAGAAAAATAAAGTCTTCGAGACTCTAAGCCACCTTCGACCACACATGGACTAAGGTGGCCTCGTCATGCAGCAGCTAAGATGGTGGCATTGACAGGAGTATGGTCTTGAAGATCTTTGATCCACAGTCCTGAAATGATCTGGCCAAACACTTCCAAACTACATATTGGGAAGTAAGACAGGTGACCTGATTAGCTCAGATCACATGCTCATGGTGAACCCCAGAAGTCAGAGTGTGCCTCCTGGCCCAAGCAGGTACTCTGCCCCCCGAGGACAAGGCTGCATCACACACAGTACCAGCTGAGGACAAGAGGCTATTGCTACATGACTTGCCAAGCAATTTTCATGGTTCTGATGTATTGGATTAAAGTTATATTGAACATGAAACCCCAAATTTACATTTTAATAATGAAGTTTTCTTAAGTTTCAAATGGAAACTGAAAAAATATTTAAAATATCTGGGTGTGTGTTTTTCCTAGTTCTATCACATAAGCTAACTGTTCCCATAAATCCAGGGTTTCAAGCAACCTGATATAGTCAAATAAAAGAGTGACTTTTCTTTTGCTGCATCCTTAATTTATAAAATATATTTTACTTGGTAGCAAGGGGAAGCATCACTGTGAAAACAGTGTTGATCAGATCTGATTCTAAATTTAGCCTTCCCTTTTATTAGCATTATGACCCTAGGCCATTTAAACACACAGAGTTCCAATTTCCTAATCTGTAAAATTGCTAATTACTTCCTAACAGAATCACTGAAGGGGAAAAAATTAATTATGAGCTTGAATCACCAAGCTCACAGCCTGGGCTTTACCAGGTGCTGCACAAATGGAAACCGAATCTCAACTCAAACAGCACTAAGCCAAGTAACCCCAGATTGCAAAACGTATACTATTTTAGGCGTTCAAATTATTCAGACACACTGGGAATCACTCCTTGGGTATATTTTTTTGAGATTTGCTTGCTGAGTTTTTCCATCTCTCTTGAAATATTGCTAACTGAGATGACAGGGTGGTGAAAATCGTCCTGGAACACTGAAATGCAACTTTGGATTGTTGTTCAAATCTTGTTCCCTAATAGCATAGTGGCCTTTAAGGAAGTATTAACCTGTTGGTCTATGCGATGTTTCCTCAACTGAAAAACAAAGCAACAAGAAAAGTATGTCTGCTCTTTATTTAAGGATGTATCTTCATGTAGAGCTGGGCCATGGTGAGCAGTAACCTGTATGGATCCTCCCCCTTGGACCTTTGTCATCCAAGTCACTTAGATTTTTCTTTGAATTTAATGATTTGTTATGGCTTTTCTGTGAAGCTTACTGATTTGATATGCTTTAAAATTCTAAAGGTGACGGTGCTTTGGCAGCTCTGCTGTCTTCATCTGAAGGACAGGAATGCAAAGGTGAGGCAACACTAAAATTGTCAGTGAGGCTCCAACAACTTCCAAGAGTAAGGGAAAAAAATGAGAAAACGCAACACAGGAAAACAATCCATTTATTAAGAGACATGAAAATGCATAAACTCATTTATAAATAAATGTGGTATAATATACCCAGTGAAAAAGTAGCTAAAAATCCATGAGTAGATTTTATATTTGACATGATTATATAGTTGATGTCCAGTCATTTCCCCTACCCTCATGATCTGTTAGTAGCAGCAATTTCACAATGACTCAAAAATGCTGTTACCAATGATAGAGAAAGTTGTTCAAGGATGCTCTTTAAAAATCAATCAGTGCAAACCAAATCAAATTACAGGGAACATGGTAAGGCCTGGACCTCAACTGCAAATAACTAGAAAATCAAAACCCCAAATATGCAACAGTTAAAAATGAAAACATGAACTCCATTTTGATCAGTGAAAAACAATATATATGGATATTACCATACATTCCTAATCAGTGATGGCAGTTAATATATTTATAAATCCTCTTTCAAGTACTAATGTTCAATAAACATTCAAATTCTACTTAAAAGTTACAATAGATATAGAAACATGTAGAGAATGCTTACTTGATTTACAATAGCAATCAGGTTGGGGGGGGGCAGGCGACCCTTAAAATACTATTGTTGGCTTTGGGTTTTATTGTTGTTGTTGCTTGTCTGCAGATGATTTTTCAGTGTTTTTATCTCCAAGGACCCAAGGAACATCCCACAACAGCGAATTAAGAAGTGATTTCTACGAAATAACTCAACATGACAGAAACAAACATTTTAACACGCAAGTTTAGCTAATGGTGGGGGTGAGGGGGTGCAAAAAGTCACTATCCTCTGGTAAGAAATTGTTCATTCCTTACCAAATGTTGGTTTGCTGTCATGCAAACACTCTCACAATACTTCTTTGGTGTTTACCAAAGAGCTATTTAACAATCTGAAAATATACCATAAACTATTCCACCAGACAGTGCTCACGTCAAAGGCTTACTGAAATCAACATCATTTCCTGAAATATTGTTAATAAGCCTTTCTCCAAAAAGCTCCCTCCTAATATTAGCCTGAGTCTCAGGCTTTAATAAAAGTTCCTTTATCTGTTTCACTTTGGACTTCAGTCTCATTCTTTCTTGATGCAAAGCTTCATTAATTAAGTCTTGGATTCCAATAGGTTTCTTGCCTAAAGAAAAAAAAAATCATATGCACAATTTAACACATGAATGTCAATGGAAAATATTAAATATGGCACACTGACTTATCAAACCAGGGTTAAAAAACCTTGAAAATGTTGCTCACATTTTATAGAAAAGATTGCATTTTGCCAAAAAAATGTATCAAAATATATACATGAAACATAATTTACAAAAATCAAGATCAGTGCATAGTGACGCCATATTTAGGACAAACACAAACATGAGGGACTAACTGAACAGATGATATTCTCAGTAGTGATTCTTTTACACTTAGCACTTGAGAGCTGTGTGTGAGTTTTGGCCTCAGATAAAAATAGTCAAATGCCCTGCTAAGCAATATAAATGGCAGCATTCCATTGATGGCAAGGCCGCCCCCACGGCCTTTGAATCCAGGAGGCATAACCCAGGGTCCCTGCTCTCCCTGAGGCACAGCTGAGGGCCCATGAAACACAGGCCATTCTTCTTTTATAAATTCATTTCCTCTGCTGGTGCCAGCACTCTGTTTCTCTTCTGTTGTGCTTCCGAAATGCAAACACATCGATCATGATAAGTAGTAGGCAATCTCCACAGATCGGACAAGAGACAAACAGCACACTGCAAGTCAGTCCCTGGACTCAGCACAAGGGAGCAGGGATGCCTTCCACGTAGCAGCGGGAGCCTGTGTTCCGGCCTCATTTCCTGTTGTGATCACTGTCATTGCCATTCCGCTCAGCCTCGCCAGTTTTCACAGAGCTCCCCTCCCCTGGCTGCTTTTTGTTCTGTGTTTCTTCCAGATACTGCTGGACAGCCTTGAGCACCGCATTCTCCACCAGCCTCTTACTGAGCCTCAATAGTTCAGCATCCTCCGGCTCCCTTCCATCCTTTTCACCTACATTCCACAACAGAGAAGAGAGGTCACTGAGCTCATATTGCCATAGAAACTCAGCATACAGGGACTGGGGCGTTCAGTTAGCAGAAAGAGCAAGTGTCCTTCAATGTGCTATATTAGATTTACAAACCCAAGGATAGTGGCTTGGTTTTTCAGTTGGTATTTTCAGAAGAAGGAGCCTGTGTATTCCCAAAGATTGCAGGTTAAAAGTAATTCGTTTGTCCCAATCTGGGACATATGCAAGCTAGTAACGCTGGCAGCTGCCCATTTCTACACGGAATTTTTGTTCTCTTATCCAAGGCTCTCATACCGCAGGTATTGCCACTTAGAGGTCCAGACCCACGAATTTACCAAGGACATCTCTGTCTGCCTCCCCTTCTCCAAGGACAAACCTCAGTTAATCAATAAGCTATCTTATCAACTCATCACTTAAGCTGCTTTTAAAATGATTGATCTATAATTTGAGCATTGAATTCTCCACCCTTCCATGAAGATAAAGGCAGTTACCACAGCTAGAAACTGGTTGAAAATAACCTTGTAAGATTAATTTTTTTTTATTATTAATGATATTACTGAATTTGTCACAGGAAAAATTCTTCAAAGAAGAGTTAGGATGATGACGATAAATTACTAAATGTTAATGTTTTATAACTACTTTGCTTCCCAACTTGAAATAGACCAGGGTTAATCATTGAATTTTTCCTTTCACTATAAAGAGTTGTTTCCCATCTATTCTCATGTTACTCATTTCCCAGCCTCTCACCTCCTTGTTGGCCTTAAGCAAGAAAGAAGCTAAGCTTATCCATTCAATCCCACATCTTTCTTTCTTGAGATGTACGCCAGAGTTAAGCCAGACTGTTAAAGGCAAAGAAGCCATCATAAGCTTACACATTCAGTAAGTTGTTTTAGAGCTCACCCAGGAGTATCAGAAGGCAAAGCCAGTGGGCACTTAGTCTGATATGGGAGGGTACAAAGGGTGTTATCAGGAAGACAAAGAGGATTTTCCATCCTCTCACATTACAGGTACTGAAGGACAAGTAGATGTGCCATGATGAGAGCTGGCCCAAACTTTCTCCAGGGCCCTACTACTTTGTAACAAACATCAAAATCAAGTCTACCTGCAACCACTCCTATTTCTCTTAAGCAGAAGGAAGGATGAGTTCAAGACCAAGTAGAAATGCTGACAATAGGAAGTCCTAGCAACCACTACTATCGCCACAGATGTGACAATATGATACCCAAGACCCATGATCAACGGTACAAGAAACAACACTTGCAACACAAAATTTGTTTAGAATTCAGTAAACATCAACTCAGTAACAACTATACACAGCACACAAAATGTAAATATGTTGGGATAGTATTAAAAGGACTTTATCTCACTCTTACAACACAGTGCTTATGTTGCAGAGACAATATCACCAAAGATGGTACTCAGAACTACTTACATAAAGGCTCTTCAGTTTTGATAGGGAAATAAAACTGAAAATGAACAAATGCTTGTTAAGTATCCCTCAAAATACTAGAACTAGCTCTTTACTTGCTACCCTACTGATGCTCTGTGTTTTGCCAGAGCACCCATGGCCCTTTTCCTGAACCACACAGCTTTCTCTTGGGTAAGACAAAAAAAAAAAAAAACCAAGGTTGCTGCACTCTAGTTCAATTAATAACTCCATCTCCAAGATTCCTCTCAGGTCTAATATTCTGCACTTCTGTGATTTGTTTAAGTCTACAGTAAAATGTTCTTGTTGCCTTAAAGATTAGAAGACTTAAAACACAGAAAGTGTCCTGAAAAATGCTAATTCTTCCTATTTTTGTTTACACTTTCACTATTACCCAAGTCAATCAAGCTTAAAACAACACTGGTCCATCTTTGTGTTCCTTTCACTTATCATCCCACTTCATTATTGAACCTAGTCAACGGGCACTTCACAGTTTCTCCCATTTTCAATGCATCTGGTTATGACACATTTAAATCAAATCTCTAAAACACCCCCATCAGTTTCTACTCTGTTAGGAAAATTAAGCTTGTCTTCCGAGGCTTTTCAAAAATGTGCCTTCACAATTCGATCACGTAGCACAGCTTCAATTCCATCATTTCCAACATCTCTCTAGGAGTCTCCACACCATTCCCTGTTTCTACAAAGCATTCCCACACTTTGATCAGTTAAAATCCCATCTCCTCTATGAAGCCTTTCCAGACTAGCCCAACTGGAAATGACAAGCTTCCATGGGTTCCAATGATTCTAAGTGTAAGGACAGTACACAGCCACTTCTCAGTCACCAAACGTGTACTGGGTCTACTATATCCAGAATTTTTCCAGTTTACATGGATACTGAAGTGAATAAAACAATACCCCATTGGAGTTTTTGTAATTTCTTAAGAAAATTACAATTGCTACTTATTGGTGTGCTTATTTGACAGTTACTGATTGCTTGCTAAAAACAATCTTGAGAAACAAAAAAAAAACTATATCCTGGGCTTCTCAGCCATCTTCCCAAAACACACATGACACACTGTCTTAATCATAGTAAGAATCCAAGAAATGTGTTAGCCAAGTGAATTGTTAAAGTTTTAAAGGCAGTGCAGTACTTTTATCTTCCTATAATAGCAGTATATCATAACCGGAATCTCTCATTTAAAGCAAGAGCACAAAGTTACAGAATTCAAATATCCATGTAACTGTATTATTTTCCCTTGAATGTAAAAGCTAAAACTTGAAAAATAAATTTAAAAAGAAATTCCTGACTCTATCAGTATTGCTACAATTATAACATTATCAGTTTTTCATCACTGTTAAACCACTGGTTAAGAATGATATATTATAGGGAGTACAAGATGGCAGACTAGGGTGAGGACATGTTAAAATGGATGGAGATGGATCAGCAGAGGAGAAGCAGAGACAGAGTGATCCCAGGCTGCAGGAGTAAACAGATCGTCTGCTGAGAGACACCTGTGCATCAGTGGAGCTACATAAACAGCAGAGATGGCGGAGCAGTGCTGCAGAGAAAAGGTACCCCAGCAGTCCCCAGAGCTCCACCAGTGGAAGGTAGGAAGGGATGAACACCAGGAAAGCAGGAGATAAATCAAGCCATAGAATTGCAGTCCCATTGAAATTCCAATCCAATCATGAGCTGAAATGGAGCGGTGGAACCCTTCTGCACAAGTGTGAGAACAGAATAGAGTTTGCAACTCAGGCACCCATCAGCACCACATCAGATGCCATTGTTTAGTACTGCTGCAAAGTCCCCAGGATATCAGCAAACCATGCAAACAATAAGTCTAGAAAGAATCTACTTGCAGCTCAATGCATTTGCTGACTTGGCACCCCACACATTACATTCAAAATACATCCAGGTAGACCCCAGACCTAGCTGCCTGCAAATTCTGGCAAGAAGTGAAAAAAAAAATTCATGTGCCAATGACAACCTAGGGCTCTGCTGATATCCCTGTGATAAAATATAAAGGCACAGCTATTGTTTCCCTAATCCCAGATACTGCTGGAACTGTTAGCAGGAGAAAGGCTAAGCAGAACATGGTGAGGCCACAAAATAGGATCACAGGAGGCGGAGAGTGGCAGCCCCAGGTGCCCCAACCATGGAGACCAAAGCTGGAACAAAGAATGGGAGCCCAGGACTGAAACTTGCTGGAGAAAGTGGCCAAAGAATACTGGGCACTGAACAGGATCAGTAAATTTGATCTGTAAACAGGTGGATAGCACAACTTAAAAATTAGCACCAAGGAGAAGAAGCTACCAATCTGAATTGCACTGGCCAAGGGCAAAAAAAGAGACAGAGGCAACATGAATGAGGTTAGTGATGTCTCCCCCACAAAAGATCAAAAGTCTATTTCAACTGCCAGATAAAGAATTTTTAAATTTCACTATAAAGCTCCATAAAACAGCCAGAAACAGAGGAGGAAGTTCAAGGAATATGCTATATAAGAAATAGCAGCATTGTAACAAAATCGAACTAAATTATTAGAAATGAAGAATAGGGTTTGTCGCTGTAGCCTAGTAGCTGAAGTCCTCATCTTGCATGTGCCAGGATCCCAATGGGCACTGGTTCGTGTCCCAGAGGACCCACCTCCTATTCAGCTCACTGCTTGTGGCCAGGGAA